TCGCTGTCTTGTACCTCCACATTTTGTTTTACTGAAAGTTCTCCAGGGGCAATAATACACACAGAGCCATCATCTCCTATGATAATGATGCCTCTTCTTGTACAAGGGTCTTCTGAAAGTTAACAGAATATGGATATTATAAAAATATCTTGCAAGAATTTTAAAAACTTTTGCACCAATATCAACCCACACTTTAATTCTATTTCCACAAACTTTTTCAGTTCGGTTCACACACCTTCTGAAGGACTTGCCTGAGGCTCTTCTTGAGGAGGTGTAAGTCTTTTTCAAAATATGTCCAAAGTGTTTTGCTTGGTTTGTTTCCTTTTTATAATTGTATGTTTTGTAAGTAAAGAATGCTCCATGAAAACCTCTCTGTTGATGAAAACGTTTCAGTGTTTGGATTCATGTTTTCGAGATTTTTAAGAAGCTCACCACTGTGAGTTTTCTTAGAGATTTATTTTTTTCTTCTCCTGTGATTTCCTTTGCTCACCCCTACTTCAGCGATGTGCTCCTGTGACAGTTCCAACACTCCTCCTTAGTCAATTCCTCAGGAACCACCTCTGAGGTTTCCTCAGTGTCATTCTCATCCACATCAGTAAAAATTGTTTGCCATCTCAACCACAGCCTTGTGGCTTTTTGTTATCTCCTCATTCTTGGTAAATCCTTTAATGCCATCGGAGGATCGCATATTTCCTATCTTTTTCCAGATGACATACATCAACCACTTTATCTAAATCTGCTTGAGATATTAGGTCACTAATTGATGTGCGCAATACTGGAAGATTTTTCTGCTGTATCTGGAAGTTCCAATACTGCTTCATTTTTAATCCTCAAGCTTTGACATTGGTCAGTGTCACTTGTTTAAAATTGATCTGTGTATCCTGTAGCAGATTCTGGATCTTGAAGTGTGAAAGTCCCATCTAAGAGTCTGTTTATATCCTGATTAATGATAGTTTCATTTCTGGCAGCTTGAAGTTTCTTAGTTTGAGATTGGCTTCTACATAATGAAACTTTACCCTCAGACAATAGATTTTAAAGTGATATTTCCTTTTGGGAGTTTTCCAAAGGAAATGTATTGTGTATTGTGCCTTCCTTCTCCAGAAGTCATTGGACTCCGTACTCCCATTTGGTTTTGGTTTTTGGATGCAGAATTTTTGTTTTTTTTTCGAAAGGTTTTTGCCATAGGGCGAGTGCGCTCGCCAGACAGAGAGAGACAGAGAGACAGAAAGCGAGAAATCACCCCCCAGGGGGATGATCATGCCACAATCCCTTCTCCTCCATTCTCCTTTCAGGATCTTGGGCACGCACGCACACACACCCGGCGTGAGTTTTAAGCCACCGGGTCCAGGACATGAACCGCGGTCAACTATGTGGGAGTCCAGCGACATAGCCATTACGCTAACTGCTGGTCCCTTAATAGCATTCTTCATAGGAATCAAAACATCCTAAATTTATGAGAACACAGAAGATCATAAGTCTTTTATTTATTTATTTATTTATTTATTTATTTATTTATTTATTTATTTATTTATTTATTTATTTATTTATTTATTTATTTATTTATTTATTTATTTATTTATTTATTTATTTATTTATTTATTTATTTATTTATTTATTTATTTATTTATTTATTTATTTATTTATTTATTTTGCGTAAGTTTTAAGCTGCTGGATCCAGGACTCCAAATGCTGTCAACCCTGTAGAAGTCCATCGACATAAACTTTAGACCATCTGTTCGTCCATATTTCTTGAATCCTAGTTGTTGTTGTCTATATTTACACAACAGAAACAAGGCACTCGCAGATCCACTATAATTGCAATTAATATACAAATAACTTTTAGTCCCTTTTTAGAGGTTTGTAATCCCTTTTCCAATATTGTCAAAATAGTAATATACTATTTATTTATTTATATTTCTTTCTTTTTTTCTCTTTAAATTTATTTATTTTTTACATTAATTCACTATACATCATTTCAGCAAACAAATGAATTTTCCATCCAAAATACTCTGTATTTTGGCTCAATTAAGCACATCAACATACATGTTATCAGCAAATAATTTTCCAATTCTTATGCCTTGTATACTTTGTTTTTGGTTTTGCCATCCTTGATTCCCTATCCCTCACCCTCCTCCCACATTGTCTCTGGTATCCACGGTTGGTTTCTATGCCTCCCCCCTCCATTTAATTGATTTTCTAATGAACTTAATTAGTCTAAATATATCCAATAGCTAGCACGGCCGATATATACCTATACATGAACCCAAGTCTGACTCTAGGCATAAAACTCAGTGAATAGAATGAACATACTATAAAGTAGTACCTAGCTGGGGCTATATATCTTACTGCAGTCATCAAATAGTAATCTAACTACTTTCAATAGCAAGTTCAGCTGGTAATTTCAAGAAAAGCAGTTTTGAGCTGGTATGGATATTTCCTTGAAACTTAAAGCCTAGAAACAGGTTAGTATTCTGTTCAAAGAGTAGGTACATGAACCTATTGATAGCTCAAAACAGGACAAAAATCCTTAAAACCAGACAACAAAGCTTAGAAGAAAAGCAGCAATATTTTAGTCAAGTCACAGAATGCTGTTTCATCAGTTCAGTCTCATGTACTTAATCTTTCTTCTGTTGTGGTTCAATCTTCCAGATTGAATTCCGGGATATAATATTTAACTCCAGACTTTGTCCCTACAATTAAGTTGCCCATTTTCTTAGTTTTTAACTCTTATTTCTATGTGTCTGCATTTAATTTGACTGACATAGCACTCCCTTAAGAATTTCTTGGAGATCTGGTCTGGTGCTAGTAAATTCTTTCAGGTTTTGTTTATCTGGGAATGTTTGTGTCTTTTCTTCCCAAATGAAAGATAATCTTGTTGGGTACAGAATTCTTGGTTGAAGTTGCTTTTCCCTTAACACGTTGAATATATTTTCCCATTCTTTCCTCGCTCACATTGTTTCCGATGAGAGCTCTGCTGTTGGTCTGATGGGATACCCTTTGTAGGTAACTTGCCGTTTTTCTCTTCCCAATCTTAGGATCTTGTCTTTGTCTGTGGTTTTGGTCAATCTGGCTATAATGTGTCTTGGAGAAGATCTCCTTGGGTTGATTCTATCTGGGGTCCTCTGTATTTCTTGGGATTGAATCTTTGAGTACCTTTCTAGGTTTGGAAAGTTTTCTTGCAGGATCTCATGGAATGGATGATCAATGTCCTTATGAGTCTCTTCGCCTTCTAGGATGCCTATTATTCAGATGTTTGGGCTTTTGATGGTATCTAGTATTTCTCGTATATTAGTCTCAAATTTTTGGGCCATTTTCTCAGTCTTCATGATGGATTTTTCTAGGCTAGCAATTTTCTCTTCTATGTCTGAGATTCTATTTTCTGTATGATCTAGTCTGCTTTTAATACTTTCAAGGGAGATTTTGACTTCCTGTATTATAGCCTTCATCTCTAACAGTTCCATCTGATTCTTTTGTAAAGTGTGAAATTGCTCTTTTAGATCTTGCATGAATTTCCTCACCTCCTGGAACTCAACAACTTCTTTCTCCTTCCTCTTCAGCAGTTCATTGTCTCTCTTCTCTTCCATCTCTGTTAGTTTTGCCATTATGAATGTTCTTTTTTGGAGAGATTTTCACTATAGGGCAGGTGCGCTCGCCAGACAGACAGAGAGAGACCTAGAGACAGAAAGTGAGAAATCATCCCTCAGGGGGGATTGCCTTAAGAATGTTCTGAATTCTTTATAAGACATTTCCATGAATCCCCTTGAACTGTGTGTGGATGAAGACGAGTTATCCTTTTCCCTTGGTGGAGAGGTATTTTCCTGCTTTCCCATATTTCTTGTGGTCCTGCAGCAATTTCTAGTCATCTGGTTGATGGTCAGTTTCTTCCCAAACTTGGAAGTTCAATCTGAGCATTGAGGAGCGTGCAGAAAAGGAAACAGAAAGAGAGAAACAACAGCAACAACAGCAAAAAAACAAACAAGAAACAGAAAAAGAGAAGAAAAAATGAAGATAAAAACTTTTCAATAAAACTAAAAAAATTAATATTTAAAAAAAATTTCAGTAAAAAACCAAAAATTGAAAAACTGCGTGGCGCGCTTGTGCACCGCGTGAAATTCTAAAAAGCAAAAATTTAAAGAAAAAGAGAAGAGACAGAGGTAGAGAGAGACAAAGACAGGTACAGAGACAGGAGACCTGGAAGGGGTCTTCCTAGCACACGAGTTTTGTGTGCTGGAGGCTGAATTATCAGTGCGAAGTCTTGATTTCTGTTTCCCCAAAATGGCTAGTTTGCAGAATCCATGAGGCTGTGTCTTCAAGAAGGTCTGTTGTCTTTGCTTCTCCACGCAAGTTTTGTGTGCTGGAGGCCGAATTATCAGTGGGAAGTCTTGATTTCTGTTTCCCCAAAATGGCTAGTTTGTAGAATCCATAAGGCTGTGTCACCAGCCTCTCACTAAGAAGCCCTTGTGCCATTTGGGGCTCCAGGCAGAGGTGCCTGTGGGCCACGTTGGGGGGAGGGCATCCATCCCACCTAATCAAGTAGTGCTTCACCAGAGTCATAGCCTCCAGCGCTGTCACCACTTCCTGCAGCAGCCTAAGAACACCTTCTCTCCCGCCCACGCCAGTAAGAAGTGCATGAGTCTTCTTTTTTATTAGGAGCACTGGCTATCCACATGCAGAAGAATGAAATTAGATCCTTATCTCACACTGTATTAAAATTATATCAAAGTGTTTTAGAGACTTGAACATAAGCTACCCCCAAACTCAAACTACTAGATGAAGATATAGGGCAAAAGTAACTGTTTGCTTTTTGAATTCAGCAGTTCAGCTCTCTCAAACTGTTAGGATTTTGTAGATTATCTTGCTTTTCTCTGTTTTTAGGGTGTGAGCCATGTTATTGTGTTGTTTAGTATACCTAAAACAAAAGCAGAACTCAGAATAAAGATTAGAAACCGATGTTAAAAGATTTATACTTTTTTCTTTTTCTTTTCTTTTTTCTTTTATAGATCCTCCTGCCCCATGTTTTTTAAGTAAATTTGTTGCAATCATTCTGTGGATTATTTGCTTGGTGCTTCTTGTGTCTGTTGGCGTCTTAGCAACAATGTGTAAGTCATTATCTAAAAGAGAAGTCTGCTTTTTCACTATTTACACAGTAGAATCTATTGAAGATGATGTATTTCTTAATCCATACAATTTTCTTGACTAACTGTAGCATTTTCTACACAGAACTGGAAGTGATTTCTTACTGACATATTAAATGGTTGCCTTTTCCCAAGCATGTCAAATATTTTTTCTCATTTTTTTTTTACCAGACATTCTTTCAAAGAAATCTTTAACTATAAGAGACTTGCTCACACTGTTTTCAGAATGATATTTTCTTTATCTGTGACCAAGTATTGCTTAAATGTGCCATATCATAATTTGATTTTTATGTTAATGACTTCCCTATTTAACTTGAATTGTTTAATACAAATGATGTTTTATTAGACACTTGTATTTATTAATTTAGTATAGTGTCATATACACAAGAATGTTTAATTATTTTTCTTTGTTAGTTTAAAACTGACCTTTCTTAATTCTCTGCAGTACATATGAAGTCATTTCAAGTAGAAAGCCATCCAGGAAATTTTTCCTCTGACAATGAAACAAATAAAACAGGTAATTTTGCAAGACTCTCTGAGTTATAACGAGCTATAGGAGAGAGGAGAGAATTAATCATGTATCATAACTTGAGCTGTAGGAGTGAGGAGAGAATTAATCATGTATCAACTCTTTGGTTTGATACATAAAATCAAATACATATAAAAAGACATAAGTCAAATTGACTTATTGAATATATATCAGAGAGCATTCTCACGTAGTCATTTACATGTATAAAATATACCTAAAAGGCTGTTCCTATGAAATGTTGACATAAGGGCAAATTAATTTTTTGACAGAGCATTGGCTTATGCTTAGTGAATATCTATTTATAATTTTATTGTATTTATGCATTTTTACCATTTTTAAGCTTACAGTTTTTTATTTAAAAATGTATACAGATTTTCATTTTGAGCACAAAAATACTACTTTGACAATTTTAATAGTTATTTTTTTGGACATGTTTCTCTTACTATGATTTTAAAAAATATTCCCTATGTACATCTTATGAGTCATAAGGCCAAAATGTTTTTGATGAAGTAAGTTATTAATTTAGTAAAATGTGATATTAAATTTAAGTTCATACAAAATATTCTGTAAAATCAAATGATGTTTTTGTCAACCAATAGTAGATTTGCTCTGTAAACTTATTGGAACTTATACTGATGGAAGACATTAAATTTTATTCTCTCTCTCTTTTCTTTAAACCATAGATCAGAATCATCCTGTTTTCCCTGTGTGCCCAAACAGCTGGCATCAGTATGGAAGTAATTGCTATTATTTTTCTAGGAACAAACAATCTTGGGAAGAGTGTCATCATTTTTGCATTGGTTTAAATTCAATATTTCTTAAATTGAATACTGAAGAAGAGCAGGTAAAGACAAGATTTTGTTTCATATATTTCAGTGGGCTCTAGTATCAGAAAAATCTAAGATTTGTAGTAACTACTCAAGTTTTATATTATCCTAAAGCATTTTGGATACTACAATCATGGAAGTCTTTAAAATTTGACTGTAACTTTGAATGTGTATTGTAATAACATTTAAGTATCTTTTCTCAGCACTTAGAAAAAAAGCACAAATAATATGTAGACAAGATCATTTATAGTCTGATTCCCACCTATGTCTCTGGCTTCATTTGCTGTTAGTGACTTCCTGACACTCTGCTCTAAGGTGAGCAGTGTTGTTCCCCTGTTTTCTTCATACCCACATTTCTCACATTGCTATTTTGTCTGCCTGTGACAAATTTTATCTACTGTATCTTCCACCCGAAATTGTGTTCTTTTGGTTAATGCACCCTCATTCGAAAGATTTTAGTTTATTAGACAATGCCCTTGAAAACATTTTTAGTCCACTAAGACTTAAGCCTCGTGATAGGGGGTGAGCAGGTAGTTTTGTGGCTAAGACACAGGACTTGCATATGGCTGACCATGGTTCACATCCTGGACCTGGCATCTTGCTCTCTCACTTTCTCTCTCTCTCTGTTTGTCTCTCTCTGGTGAGAGCATGTGTATTATAGCAAATTAATAATAATAACAATAATAAATAAAATTAAATAAATAATTTTTGAGAGGTTTTTGCTATAGGGTGCATGCACTCGCCAGACAGAGAGAGCGCGAGAGAGACAGAGAGACAGAGAGACAAAAAGTGAGAAATCACTCCCCAAGGGATATGGCTATGCCGCAATCCCTTCTCCTCCATTCTCCTCTTGGGATCTTGGGCATGCACTCACACATGCCCGGCATGAGTTTTAAGCCACTGGGTCTGGGACACGAACTGCGGTTGACTACATGGGAGTCCAGTGACATAGCCATTACGCTAACTGCTGGTCCCAAAATAAATAATTTTTAAAAAGAAAAAACAGCAACCTTGCTAAATCTTCCCCTTCCCTTTGATCCTATGTTTCCTTTTTCTTTTTTTTAACAATAGATTCCACTGTTGTACATAGGCATCCTTAATCCTGTTTTTCTGTGCCTACTATAAGCAACTACATCTACCAGGCTTATTTGCCTACTTTTACAGCCTATGGAAATGTCTCGACTACTATGTGAATCAAAGAATAATTGCTCAGTGAATAAATGAGTCATTGGCAATTGATATTCATTACAGGACTAAACAATTTAGGATTAATCTCTTCAGATTCTTTCGATATTACAGAAAAGAGAATCCAAAGATAATTTTATAAATAAAATATACATTTTAAGCCATATTACATAGAGAATATTTTATATTCTCCTATTCAGATAAGGTTTTGCTTTCAAATATATTTTTCCATTACTCTCTTCAGAGTTTTGTCATAAAATTGTCAAAGATGCAATGCGCTTTGCTAAAAGAAAAGTTTTGGATCGATGTATACAACAGTCAACAACCAAAACTGCTGGATGGTACAGCTCTGACCTCGGGCAAGTAAGTCTCCTGCTGTCTCACAATTTCAGTCCAGAATAATATAATTTTTCTTTTTTCAAATCTAAACCTTTGGTGCAATTTCTCTTACAAGAATATTCATATCGCACTGTAAAGTTATATGTAATCCAATGTAGTATAAAGAAGATTATGATGATAATAAAAAATAAAAATAAAAAATAAAAGAATATTCACATCGGATTTAGAGCCTGCCCTAGTCTAATATACGCTCGCCTAGAACCTTATTTTCATTAGAAGATCTACAAAGAGCCTATTTCCAAATAAGATCACATTCTGAAATTCTGGTTAGGCATAAATTTTAGAGAGACAATATTCAATCTATCTTATTTTTCTAAAAATGAAGATTTTCTAGCTTCAAGTCAAATGAATTCATTTGGCTATATAGAGATATAAAATTATATTCTGAAAATAATTTCATGAAATTATAATGTACTTATATTTTGAGAGTCATTGCACTTAATGACATATGTCTGCTTAATATCACACATATTTGGACAATGTCATAGAAACTTCTCTGGATTCCCAGAAACATTGTGAAATAAAACCATCAACAATGGGATAGGGGAGTGAAGAAATATTAGTGATAAAATTAGCCAGAATAAATGGCTCAAATATTGACAGTAAAATTCTCTTACTAATAGATTTTGAAAAAGCTGAACATCTCTATGAAGTTCTCTTGTAGTGATAAAGTTATCTTCGATTAATTACGCAGTCAGTGACCATCTTATGCTGAGATTATGGATGCAGTAGGAGCTGAAGATTTTCAACAATGCAACAGTCCTGAGTCATCATAAAACAAATATCTCTATGCCAAGTGCCTACATACCCATTCCAGGTTGTACACTTTTGCACAGTGAAAGCAGTTATAAAACCCAGTAATAACTGTAGAGTAGACAAGAATTGATTCTGAAAATCTGTAGGTTCAATGCTTTTGCTTTAATGGGTTCTCTTTATTAAGATTGGTTTTTCCAGCCTACCATTCTAATTTAAACATTTATTTTGAACACTTGTATATACAATACACACATATATAAACACCCAGATATATTACAAAAGAGTGCTTGTAACAGCCCATAAAACTGATACTTCCTGACTTATCATATATAGATTAAATGTGGTCTGATTCATGATATTTATCATTTATCATTCCTCTTATAGTTTTTAAAAACATTTCTATCCTTGGGACCAGCAGATGGAATTATGGTTATGTAGCTGGACTCCCACCTAGTCGACTGAGGTCTGAGTCCCAGACCCAGTGACATCAAACTCACCCTGGACACATGTGTGTGCATGCCCAAAATCCCAAAAGGAGAAAGGAGAAGGGGTTGTGGCATAACTATTCCTCCTGAGGGTGATTTTCCGCTTTCCATCTCTCTGTCTCTCCAGTAAATGCAGGCACCCTATAGCAGAAATCTCTCTCTTAAAAAAAATTCTATTCTTCATAATTCTCTTTCTTGTCAAAATTCCTGTTTATTAATTTTCTTTTTCATTTCACTTCCTACCATGATTCTCTGTGACTTCCAATCACTATGTGTGCAAAACCAAGTTTACCAAGACTCAGAAATACTGAAATACCAATGTCCTAGTTCTCCAGTTTTAATTCTACAGTTTAAGACATTAATTAATAACACAATTTCTGAAGCTATGTTCCTTGGATCTGAGTTTTGGCTCAGTCACTTGGGTGATCTTAATCTTATTATTAAGACACTCTGCATCTCACTTTCCATTATCTATAAAATAAGGTGAATAATACAACTTACTTTTTTGAGTGGGTGTGAGAAATACATTAATTGGTCAATTCAAGCATGTGGTAAATGTCAGGCATGTAAGAAGTCAGTAAAGGTGAATTCCTTCCTCCCATACTTCTTCATTCTGTTCTATTTTTTAAAGGTTTATTTCATTTTTTCTCATGAGAAAGAGAGAGATATACCCTTGACAGTAGCTCATCATACCACAATCTCCTCCCATCCCCAGACTTCCAGACAGCCAGGGCACTTATGCATGCACCTGGCATGCTCAGAAAAACCACAGGTTCAAACCCCTAGCCCTCTGCATGGCTTCCAGCATTGCAGAGAGGCTCTCTAGTACCCATATCATGGTAGCTGGGTCAACCACAGATCTTAATATTAACGTGACAAAAAAACCTTTAAATAAATAAATATAATTAAATTATTTAATAATTATTTAATATGCATTAAATTAATAAACATTAAATAAAACTAAATATTAAATTAAATAATAAAAGTATTAATATTTATTCAATCACATAATAAAATTACTAATATTTAATTACTTAATTAAATATTTAAATATTAAAATGATATTTAAATAACATCGAAATAATAATGTTAAAATACTCTTTAAATAATATTACATATTTAAATATTTAGTGATATTTAATAATTAAATTATATCTTCTATGAAATCTAAATTTAATATCACAGATTCCTTCCAATGTGCCCACACTTTGCAAAAATCATTTTTCAATATAAGGCCTGTGTTCAAATTAAGACTTTAGATTCACCTGAAATTCTAAGTGATTTCATATTTATTTCTATTTCACGTAATTGGGTCAATGTGTGCCTTCCTTCAAGAATTATAAAACATATTTCAGGAAACTTTTCCTGAAATGTTCCGCATGTCATTATTATACTCAAATTTTTGATCTTTTAAAGTTATTGTCCATATCTCTACATAGATTCTGGCCTTTAATCTCAGAAAGAGTAAGAGAGTTAATTGTTTCTGATATAACGACAATTTGGTTGTTCTACATATAATATAGAGCCTATTTATCGAAATGCTAATGGTTAAAGGAAATATAGTAAGTGTCATTAAAACCGAAAATATTCTGAAATTGCCTGAGGTCACAGAGATGATAGCTAGAATTGAAGGCATTGTTATCATTCTTAATGCCACAATTAAATTTTGCATGATACTTAATATCGTCTTCATTATTTGTATTGTTATCTGAGAAAGTGAAATTACTGCTGCTTTGTAATTATATAAAAATAATGAATTAAAAAACCACTATTGATATATTGAATAAGTTCATCATTTAATCATTAAAATGTTTTCTCTTTTAGGCTTCAACTTCCAGGACATGAGAAAACTAATAATAAATGCATGCATATAAAAAGTGGCCAAATTATTCCTGAAGATTGCCAGGATAAAGGCTATTGTATCTGCAAGAAGACAATATATTCATATTAAATAAAATATATCAGGAAAAAAGTGAACATTTGAAATCTCCTAACTTGACTTCAACTCTGTAAAATGTTAATTTAGTAAAAAATAGATATTAAATGCTAATCTTTAGCTTATTCTTTAACTTTTTTTTTTTAATGGTGCATACACTCACCAGAGACAGTGAGAGGGAGTGGGAGAAAACACCCCACAATGAGGAGTTGTCAGGTCCCAATCCTTTCTCCTCCATTTATCGATCCTGTCAGAATTTTGGGCACATATGCATATCTGTCCAGTATGTTTTTCAATCCACAGGGCCAGTCAGCCATGTGGAATCCAGAATCTTTTACCATTAGGCTTTTCTTTAACATTAATTATGAATATTTAGCAGAATAAAGGCGTTAAACAAGATATCATTGAGAGAAGACTCCTTCCTCCATTGGAACTGTGAACTAGTGCTTTCAGAAGCTAAGACTAATGAAGATTTTCTGCTGAGAATCCACCATCCAGAACCCATTCCAACATGTTAGGGTCCCCTGTATCCTTCTCTGTATCTCTCTCTGTCTTTTCACTTTTACAACCTAAAAAAAAATTTTTTTAAGGTGAAATATTTTCTTTGCTCTTGGATCCTTTATCTTGCTGATTCTCACCCATCCCCACTCCCATTTAAGAGAGGCAAAAGTGCAGGCCTTCAGAGAAGACTCCTTCATTAGAGCTGTGAACTAGTGCTTTCAGAGACTGAGACTATTGAAGATTTTCTGCTGAGAATTGACCCTCCAGACCCCATTCTAGAGTGGTTGAGGATTTCAATTTTTGCTTAAAAATTTTTTTCTTTTTCTCTTTTTCTGTTTTTCCTCCCTCTTTTTTTCTCTTTCTCTGTTTCCTTTTCCTTTTTCTTTTACCTTCATCACTTTGCTGCTCACCTCCAAGTACCGAGTGTCTAGACAGGTCTAAGTGAACCATAACCCAACATCTGAATACTATTAGTATCAGAATATTCCTCAATTCCCACTGAATCTGCTGCACTAAGGAGAAAAATGGAATGGCAGAAAGATTGCAGATCACCTCCTCCTGCACATCTCTGAATGCTCAGATTCAAGTTCTAGAAATTAGGAAGAAATGTAAAACCCATCAGATGACCAGAAATCACCAAAAAGGCACAAAAAATATAAGAAACCAAGAAAATACCTCTCCCCCAAGGAAAAAGAATAACTCCTCTTCATCCACAGACAGTTCAATGGAGCTCACAGAAATGTCAGACAAAGAAATTAGAATATTCATAGTGATGAAGCTAACAGAGATGCAAGAGAAGAAAGACAATGAACACCAGAAGATGCAGGAGAAAAGAGACAATGAGTTCCAGAAGGTGAGGAACTTTTTGCATGATCTGAAAGAGGAAATACATACCATAAAAATGGAACAGTTAGAGATCAAGGTTGTAATATAGGAAATTCAAACCTCTCTTGAAAGTATTAAAAGCAGACTAGACCATACAGAAGATTGAATCTCAGATGTAGAAGACAGAATCACTGGCCTAGAAAAATCCACCTTGAAGAGTGAGAATATAGCCCCCAAATTGAGAATAATATATGAGAAATACTGGATACCAATAAATGTCTAAATATCTGGATAATTGGTATCCCAGAAGGTGAAGAGACTAACAAGGGCATTGATAATCTATTCCATGAAATCCTGGAAGAAAACTTTCCAAACCTAAAGAGGCATTCAAAGATCAAGACTAAAGAAATACACAGGACCCCAAATAGAATCAACCCAAGAAGATCTTTTCCAAGACACATTATAGCCAGATTGACCAAAACCACAGACAGAGACAAGATACTAAAACTGGCAAGATAGAAATGGCAAGTTACCTACAAAGCATATCTCATGAGACTAACAGTGGCCCTCTCCTTGGAATGTGAGCAAGGAAAGAATGGGAAAATATATTCAAAGTGTTAAGTGAAAAAAAATTTCAACCAAGAATACTATACCCAGCAAGATTATCCTTTAAATGGGAAGAGAAGACAAGAACATTCTCAGATGAACAAAATCTGAAAGAATTTACCCACACCAGATCAGCTCTCCAAGAAGTTCTGAAGAAACTGCTATATCAGGAAAACTAAATGCAGACACACAGAAATAAGAGTTCAAAAACAATTAAGAAAACAGCCAGCTTAAAGGCAGGGACAAGTCTAGAGTTGAATGCTATCTTCCAGAATTTAAACGGAAAGATTGGATTACAACAGAAGATAGATTAAGTACATGAGACTGAACTGATGAAATATAATTTTATGACTTTTGACTAAAACATTACTGATCATTTCTATGCTTTGTTTTATAGACTTAAGAATTTTTGTCTTCTCTTGAGATGGCCACAGGTCCTTGTACCTATTATTTGAACAGAATCCTAACCTGTTTCCTGGCTTTATCACTATAAGTTCATATTTGTGGCTAGTTTTATATAAAATTACAGTTTTCCTTTGCCTTGTTATGAGCATCTGTGAGAAAATAAATAGTTAGGGTAAGAAGATATGGTTGCCTGATAAAGTGAGCCTTGATGAAAAATTACATTTTAAATAAGATACAAAGTAATATGACTTAGACGGAGTTACAGGGAACCAGGAGATGGTAAAATTTTATTAAGTATATAAGGTTCAAAAAGTGTGGAAATATAATAGTTTGACTGGAATTTAAGGATTATTTGACATTAAGCATTTTTTCTTAATATCAATGGACAGGCACAGAGTTTTTAAGTGTTGTGGGTACACAGTGGTACAAACCAAAGAGCTATGTCTGTTTCCATGGGGGGGCGGGTTTAAACTCTAGAGGGAAAGCTTTTAATAAAGTAGTCACATTAATAAATACATGATTATAAGTAAAATAAGGTTTTTCTCATAAAGGACAAGATAGTTATCAGATTACTACAGAAAAACTGATCTAGAATGAAGACTTTACCAATGTATTAATGTTTAGGCAAAATCTAAGGAATAAATAATTTTAACAGCAAAGTAAGGGAAGAGTCCAGGAGATAAGAGTGTTTCAGAGAGGAAAAAAATAAGCAGCAGATGGAAAGTCTTGGAGTTGGAATGAAGGCAGCTGTGGCTAGAGCACAGAGTTGGAGGAGAAAAATGGCATGCAACAACCCTAAAGAGAATAAAACAAAGTAGAAAACAAAGAGTTTTGAAAACTACAAGAAAATATTTTACTTTTTATTTTTTTAGAGGTTATTGCTAGAGGGCACGTGCACTTGCCAGAAAGATGGGGGGAGACAGACAGAAAGTGAGAAATCACCCCCCAGGTAGGATGACCACACCACAATCCCTTCTCCTCCATTCTCCTCTTGGGATCTTGGGCACACACGCACATGTGCCCGGCTTGAGTTTAAGCCACTGAGTCCAGGACTTGAACCATGGTCGACTACGTGGGAGTTCAGTGACATAGCCCTTACGCCAACTGCTGGTCCCGTATTTTACTTCTTCAGGGTACTCTGAATTCTTGAAGTCATTCAAACTGAGATAAAATAATATAAAGTCATTCCCTGTACACAAATCCCAAATATAATGCTGGGTGACAGATAAACATTATTTTATAACTGAGAGCACAAATTCTCCTAAAAGAAATATGGCAAAATAAATTTTCTATTTATATAATATAATCAATACCTATTTAACCAAAATATAATATAAGCATTCTAAATAAGCCTTAATGAGATAAAGAGAACATTTGTATCATGAAATAAAAATATTATCCAACTCAATGGATAACATTTAACAGATAAACACAGTAAAGAAAAGTCAAAACAATAAAAGAAAGCATTTTTTTTAAGACAGATTTTTGCTATAGGGTATGTGTGCTCATTGGAGAAACAGAGACAGAGAGACAGAAAGCAAGAAATAATCCCCCAGGGGGAATGAATGAACACCCTACAATTCCTTCTCTTGGTATTTTGGGCACTCACACAGATGCACCTGGTTTGAGTTTTAAGATGCTGGGCCTGGGACTCAAACTATGGTCGATTATGTGAGTCCAGTGACATAATATTATGCAGTTTGCTGGTCCCAAGGGGTTTTATTTTCATTTTAAAAATGATTTTTTTTATTAGCATCACATACGTGTGGAATGATGTGCAAGTGATTTAATTCTGGAGTAGGGAGAATACCTCAGCCAACTGCTACTCTTTTTTTTTTTTTTGGAGGGACCTATCACACAAAGGCATTTGTTTGTTCGTTTGTTTATTTTTTTGAGAGAGAAAATGTGTGCACTTATGTGTGTGCTCATACCTGCACATTCCCAAGAAAGAGAGAAGCACCCTTGAAAGGGCTCTAAATCTGAGGTATGCCACGTGACTTCCAACTTGTAGGGCACTCATGTTGTCACTGCACTTCAGCCACCCACCTGCCACTGTTGTTGATGTCATTACTTATCATCACTCATAATCTGGCCAAGATAGGGAACCTGTTTTGGGAAAGAGAAATTGGAAAAACTTTTAGTAGTCATGTGGACTAGAGTTACAAGTGGATATTTTAATGTTCTGGCTATGGTTTAAGAGTTCTCTCTAAAACTCCTATGGAATTTAATTATGGGGGGGCTCTGAAAAAATATTCAATGGACACAGCATGGAAGGCTGACAGTCGGGGATAATGTATATAGTAGTATCATTGACATGCACTGCATGCATGCTTTGAGAAACCGTATCATACCACATAAAGGTGTACTATGATGAAACAGAGATAAATCTTTTTTTTTCTTTTTCTTTTTTGGAGAGATTTTTGCTATAGGGCACATGTGCTCGCCAGAAAGACGGAGAGAGACAGAGAGACAGAAAGCAAAAAAATCACCCCCCAGGGGGATGGCCACACCGCAATCCCTTCTCCTCCATTCTCCTCTCAGGATCTTGGGAACGCACGCACACGCGCCCAGCATTGAATTTAAGCCACCGGGTCCGGGACTTGAACTGTGGTCAACTACATGAGAGTCCAGCGACATAACCATTATACCATCTGCTGGTCTCTGAAATATAAATAAATCTTAACAATAA